TTGCCCGAATTCACAGATCAATTTAGCTGAAATGTATAGGTGTGGTGTCAAGGGAGTAGTCAACGAAGATCTTAAAGAAGCGTTCAAATGGTACAAAATTGCAGCACATGAATCGGATTGCGATGTGGATACTAATTTGGGAGCACTCGGCCGACTTATTTCTGGAACGATGAGCAAAATGGGGAACACCATTGTTGATTACAGGCAAAGAGCTCTGCGATTTTTGTACAAGTATTATCTTGAAGGTGATTGCCCCGAAGGGAAACCGCAGCCAACAAAAGCTGTTCACTATTTGACCAGAGCTGCACAACTAGGAGATACAGGGGCCCAACTGAACCTAGGGAAAATATATCTGAACGGAAGTTCTGAGCAGATTAAGGATTTGAAGAAGGCAAAACGGTGGCTTGAAAAAGCTTCAGCAAGCGGTCATGTCGAAGCTAAAGAGGTAGGTTTATTGATATTGGCTGCTTAAATTTGGATATATTCATACTCTGTTGTAATTCATGTTTCCTGGAAGATTTGTAAGCAATTTAGTGTTGCAGTCTTTAAGCAGTACTTTAAGTAACATTACAATCATTTGTGGCATGCATTGAAAAACTGACTCAGCTTGTTACATTCATTTGTTAGTACACTGCAGAGCTATGTTGAAGGCATACATGTATGTTAACCGTTCACTATATTTGTATTAGCTTCTTCAGCAATGCCCCATTGATGACAACACGAAGCATGACTCTTCAGAGGTGGCCACAGAAGCTTTTAAACAGTCATTTGACATCCTGGGTGAAAAATTTAGACAGAGAGCTGAGGCAAATAAGCACCCATTTGCAATTTTTAAACCTGTTGCTTTCTCAGAAAAAATGCTTCATCTCTATAATTGGTCCCCAACAGGAAGAGTTTACCTTCAAGCTTACAAACTGGTGAAAGAGGGCTTTGAAGTTCTGTGCAAAAGCAACTTCACTGATGAGAGGGGAATAACTCTCATTGCTCATGGATACTTGACTGAAAACTCTATACTTCAAGCATTTCCTCAGATCCAAAATCTCCTGTTACCCAAAATTCTTGAACTTTGCGAGGAAAGTTTAAACAAAAGTCCTTGCTTTTTTGAGGGACTTCATCTGTCATTTGCTTTGCGTGATTGTACAATGGGGAAACGTTCAAAAGAAAGTTGTGAAGATGATGTGAAGGCGATAATGTGTATAATGAACCTGATAAACTTTATTCAAAAGGCAGAACCCAACAGCCCTCCTTCTGACCAAATTTTACTCAGGTATTGAATAAGGACATTTTATTACGAATATCTAGTTAAAAAGTTAAAAAATTATGTACCAGGTATACTTTTATCGCATTAAATTTTACCTAGTTTTCGCCATATGTACAGCACTTTTTGAGGGTGTTGCTTAAGGGACAAAAAAAAAAGTCACAATATAGCTGTGTACGAAAAAAATTAACATAACACAAATGAATGGGAAGACTTTGTTAAAACGTGTGAAGTTTGGTGCTAACTGAATTCATTTTAAGCCTTCAATGGAGCTTGGGTTTTGCAGTGAATTTTGGACAATTTGCCAGGCGGAAAACCGCACTTAAACCACATTTTCTAATTTCGCAAATTTCTGAAAAATTAACACTCGTTGGAACTTTTAAACTTGATTTTTGAAAACAGTTTACCAAAGGGTATTGTTGAGCAAAATATGAGCAATTCACCAAAATGGTCGCTGATGGACGATTCTCGATCCTTACAGGCAGCCATTCTTAAGCAGTACTTCAAGTAACATTACAATGCAATCATTTGCGGCATGCATTGAAAAACTGACTCAGCTTGTTACATTCATTTGTTAGTACACTGCAGAGCTATGTTGAAGGCATACATGTATGTTAACCGTTCACTATATTTGTATTAGCTTCTTCAGCAATGCCCCATTGATGACAACACGAAGCATGACTCTTCAGAGGTGGCCACAGAAGCTTTTAAACAGTCATTTGACATCCTGGGTGAAAAATTTAGACAGAGAGCTGAGGCAAATAAGCACCCATTTGCAATTTTTAAACCTGTTGCTTTCTCAGAGGAAATGCTTCATCCCTATAATTGGTCCCCAACAGGAAGAGTTTACCTTCAAGCTTACAAAATGGTGAAAGAGGGCCTTGAGGTTCTGTGCAAAAGCAACTTCACCGATGAGAGGGGAATAACTCTCATTTCTCATGGATACTTGACTGAAAACTCTATACTTCAAGCATTTCCTCAGATCCGAAATCTTCTGTTACCCGAAATTCTTCAACTTTGTGGGGAAAGTTTAAACAAAAATCCTTGCTTTTTTGAGGGACTTAATCTGTCATTTGCTTTGCGTGGTTATACAATGGGGAAATGTTCAAAAGAAAGTTGTGAAGATGATATGAAGGCGATAATGTGTATAATGAACCTGATAAACTTTATTCAAAAGGCAGAACCCAACAGCCCTCCTTGTGAAGAACCATTTGAGTTTGATAAGAATTACAGCAGTTGGCTTCATGTTTTGTATTACCATTTAGCAGCTATATACACCATTTCGGATGCTACCAGACAAGCTGCTGAGGCTTTTGAGAACTCTCTCAAGTGCTGCCCATCCTTTCATGAAGCAAAAACAGGACTAGGATATTCATTGATGTTGCTCTACCTTTCAAAAATAAGCTCTGAAAGAAAGCAAGCAAGCCACAAATTACCCAAAGAGTTGCTTAGAGTTAACAAAAAGCAACATCAAGACAGAGACATTTCCAAATATGACTCCTGGACTGCTGAAAAATTGAGAAACTTAGCAGTGAAGGTTTTAAAAGAGTATCTCACAGAGGCCCCACAGTGTCAGAAAAAATACCCAAATGCATGTTACTATCTTGCAAACATTCACTTCATGGAAGGAAACATCGAAGAATTCAGGAAGTATTTTGAACTGGGACAAGATGCTGAGGAAAAAAGACTTCCTTTCATGGATCCTATTAACCTGCCATTAAAGGATATCATGGCACCTTTTTACCAGCATTGTGCTCATGTTAAAAAACATGCAAGGTGTGGAAACAGGGCTTGCACCACGAAAGTTAAAGAGAGTGACTTAAAGTCTTGTGGTGGATGTGGCAAGCAAAAATATTGCAGCAAGTAAGTTTAACTTTTCAATATGATTTATTGTTTCTAATTCTTCTAAATATAAATTACTCCTTTTTCCCTTTACACTCACCTCAAACTCTCTCCATCAGCAGAAATTGTTGCACAAAATAAAGGAATGCATTTTGTAGCTACTTAATTTTTCACAAGTTTTTGAGGGGAGCTAATGTCCCCATACCTCCCCCCCCCCTTCCAGGGAAGGTGAAGCCTGTGGTGTCCCACTCTTTGCCAGCAAATCAGCTTGAGAGCTCTGTCAAGTTACATGAAGCAATCATGTCCTATGAAGTGTAATTACTGTCAAAATTTAAGACATACGGTTAAGATATTGAGACATTCTGTTATGATATTGAGACATTCTGATATGATATTCAGACATGCAGTTATGATATTGAGACATGCAGTTATGATCTTCAGACATGCAGTTATGATATTCAGACATGCAGTTATAACATTGAGACATGCAGTTATGACATTGAGACATGCAGTTATGACATTGAGACATGCAGTTAGGACATTCAGATATGCAGTTATGACATTGAGGCATGCAGTTATGACATTCAGACATGCAGTTATGATGTTCAGACATGCAAGTTATGACATTGAGACATGCAGTTATGACATTGAGACATGCAGTTATGACATTCAGACATACAGTTATGACATTCAGACATGCAGTTATGACATTCAGACATGCAGTTATGATATTCAGACATGCACGTTATGACATTGAGACATGCAGTTATG